TGGATCAAATCTGAGGTATAAGAGGGAGCTTCTTCATGTAAGCTCTAAAAGTTAAAAACAAAACTTAAAATGAATTCTAAATGCAGTGAAGAGAAGCTAAAACAGCTGTGATGTGANATGTAAATTTGTTTCAGAACTTGTAAGTGTTTTCTAACTTGTAAAAGTGTTTTCAAAAATGTAAATTTGTTTCAGAACTTGTAAGTGTTTTCTAAAATGTAAATGTGTTTTCAGCAATGTAAATTTGTTTCAGAACTTGTAAGTGTTTTCTAAAATGTAAATGTGTTTTCAGCAATGTAAATTTGTTTCAGAACTTGTAAGTGTTTTCTAAAATGTAAATGTGTTTTCAACAATGTAAATTTGTTTCAGAACTTGTAAAAGTGTTTTCAAAAATGTAAATTTGTTTCAGAACTTGTAAAAGTGTTTTCTAAAATGTTAAAGTGTTTTCAACAATGTAAATTTGTTTCAGAACTTGTAAAAGTGTTTTAGATAATGTAAAAGTGTTTTCAACAATATAAATTTGTTTCAGAACTTGTAAAAGTGTTTTCTAAAATGTAAAAGTGTTTTCAACAATGTAAATTTGTTTCAGAACTTGTAAAAGTGTTTTCTAAAATGTAAAAGTGTTTTCAACAATATAAATTTGTTTCAGAACTTGTAAAAGTGTTTCAGATTTTGTAATGTTGTTTCACACCTTTTGTAATCTTGTTTCGCACCTCCAGGCCACCGTACCTTTCAACTAAGTATTCATGCATCATCAGTTATACACAAATAGACAAAACCCATTCTAAAGGCAGCACGACAGCTCAGTGGTTAGCACCGACGCCCCACAGCAAGAAGGTCCTGGGTTCGATCCCCAGTTCGGACCTGGTGTCTTTCTGTGTGGAGTTTACATGTTCTCCTCGTGCTTGCGTGGGTTTTCTCCAGGTACTCTGGTTTCCCAAACAACACAAAAACATGTACAATAGGTTGCCTTCAGGCCCAGGCCTCCCTTGAAAAAGAGATCTGTGATCTCAATGGGACTTGCCTGGTAAAACAATGGTAAATAAATAAAATAACTGCTTGGCTGATTGATTATCAAAGCAAAAAGTACCAATTCTTCGTTTATTGGAAAATCCTTCCACCTCCTGGAGAAATCCAGATTTATAAGACAAAGAGAAAGATTTGGTAAGAAAAGCAAATTTGTTTAACAGAGAATCATTTTAACGTCAAGAATTTGAAAAAGCATTTGACTGTTCAGTCCAGTCACTTATAAGACCACCATTTGTTTTTAGGACCTGATGATGCATTTTCTTTTGCACATTTTATTGTCTAGACCAGGTCCTGGTCCTCCAGGTCCACAGCCCTGCATGTTTTACTTTTTCCCYTTCTCTAACACACCTGATTCAGTCAGTAAATTACCTCTTCCAAGTTCTGCAGAAGCCTGAAAATCATCCATTCATTCAAATCAGGTGTGTTGGAGCAGAGAAACAAGTAAAAGATGCAGGGGTGCAGACCTCGAGGACCAGGATTGACTATCCCTGGTCTGATGATTGGTACTCTTTCCCTGTGATCCCTGGTTAATTGGCAGAAGCTGAAGCT